TGAAGCAACATCCAGTAATTCCCACTCCCAATTATGCTTTGGATCCTATAATATTCCACATACTGCTAATACTGCAACAGAGGATTAAGTTGTGCAGAAGAAAATTGGTTTATTGAGTTAGTAAGCCAATTTCTTCCTACCTCTACAGGCATAGAAAGGTATAAAAAAAAGTTAGGATATGTTTATGTATTAAATGATACACTAGATGATACATTAATTCAGCCTTGGACATATTCAGATACCAAATTTTGATGTTACATGTAGATGTAACAAAATGCTGCTAAATTCATACTAAAAGGGTGTTTACTAGAACATTGAGGTCAAGATAAGATCAAGGTCAGACTGATGTCAGCTAAGATCAGTTAACTGGAGGGTTATCTTTATGTTATAACAATTGCCAACAAGATAGGTTTCATGCATACCATAACCCCTATAACAAAAACAACAAATCAAGTCCCACACTTAAGTCAAGAGCTTTCTATACAACTGCCAGTATCTCATGCATATTATCATGACATTATTTAGTTTTTTACTACTACTCTTCGGGGTTCTAAGTTTTCAAAGTCATAATAATAAAAATAATCTCTTCTAAATTTGGGTTTTAGACTATTTCTTTTTTACCTCTCCTTTGATAAGCTAACACTGTCATGTAGAAAAGCTTAGCCGTGCCAAAAGTGACCCTCGATGCGCTCTATAAAGTTCAATTTTCTCATAGGTCCTCCAGTTCTCTCTAGGTGCTGGCAGCAGATCCAGCAGCAAAGACTCACAGTTTTGACACTCTGTTGAAATGCAGATGCAAACAATGTAACAAAGACACCCAGGAAATGACTGAGGTCTAGATTCATCTTCTGATCATCACTAAATAAGCAATGGCACATGTTTGTCTTTCTCAGTGTCAACACAGTCAACACTAACAGGAAAGACTTCTTGGATAGAAAATTCTGCCTCCAGGGGTCAGAGAGATAGTACAGCAGTTAAGGGGCTTGTCTTGCATGTGACTCACCCTGGATTGATGCCCCGTACCACTGTCGGGAGTGATCCCTGACTACAGAGTCAAAAGTAAGCCCTGAGCACCACTTGGTGTGGTCCAAAACCCACACAAAAGAGAAAAGAAGAGAAACTTCTGACTCTGAGTATCACAGTACTTTAGGATTTTAAAATCTACTCCAAGGGCAGAGAACGAGCTCAATTGGCTGAGCACATGCTTTGCATGCAGGAGGCCCAGGTGTGATCCTGGCACTGCATGGTTCTCCTAAGCCAGAGCTGAGAGTAGCCTCTGAGCAAGGCCACATCTGACCTACAATAAAATAGAATCAAATAACATTCAATCCACAGAATTTACTCCAGACCCTCAAGGTAGGAAGACAGGTTAGGAATCGTGCAGTGTTGGTGGCCAGGGATGTGGGTCAGCAGTAGAGGATTTGTCTTGCAGGTGGAAAACCTTGAAGAAGGGGGAGAAGGAAAAGGAGAAGGAGGAGAAGGAGGAGAAGAAGAAGAAATCACACAGCTAGAGGTCAGTATGCTTTGCACACTGGAGCTCCAGGTTCATCCCTGGCATCACATGGTCTCCCAAGTATAGTCATGTGGTAGCTCAAAAACAACTCCCCCCCCCCCAAAAAAAAAGCACAGGGGGTTGGGAACTAATCCCAGAGGTTGGAGTGCACACTTTGCATGTGAGAGATCTATAATTAATCTCTGGCACCTAATGGTTCCCTTGGCATGGCTCCCCAAAATAAAATCACAGAGATGGGGCAGAAGATAGGGCTCAAGTGGCAGCATACACATCTAGCATGTATAAGGCTTGAGTCTGGTCATCAGCACTACCAGTGAGGCCCTAGGCCTCTAGTACTAACAGGGTTTCTCCTGCCCCCCCCCCTTTTTTTTAATCAAAAGCAAAAGACAGTGTTTGGAGATACAACTCAGATATGAGTTCCATCTTCCATCTGTTAAGTTGTTTTTTTTTTTTAAATCACATAGTTGGGGCTGGAGAGATAGTACAGTGAGCAAGGCGCTTGCAAACAACTGCCCCATGCTCAATTCTCAGTACCACAAATAGTCCCCTGAGCACAGAGTTAGGAGTAAGGCCTAAGTACCAGAAGGTGTGACCCAATCCCACCCCCTGTCAAAAAATCATAGAGCAATACTATAGATATAAGCTCCCAACAAGGTCCTCGCCATCAGCTTGCTACCTGTAGTTGCTGAGCACTGGCAATGTGACGAGTCTAAATTCAGATATACTGCAAGAATAAAAGACACACTGGATTGCAGATTTAGTTCAAGAGAAAGTAAAGGAAGGGCTGGAGCGATAGTACAGTGGGTAGGGCATTTGCCTTGCACCTGGCCAATCTGGATTTGATCCCAGGCATCTCAGAGTACCCTGGGCCCTCCAGGAGTGATCCTTGAGTACAGAGACAGAAGTAAATCCACAGCACCGCCAACTGTGGACCAAAATCCAAATAAAAATTGTTTTAAATTTAAATAAATAAAAATAGGGGACCAGAGAGATAGTACAGTGGGTAACGCACTTGCTTTTCATGCCGCCTAATATATTACAGTGGATAAGGCACTTGCTTTGCATGCAGTCGACCTTGGTTCAGTACCTGGCATCCCATACTGGTCCCTTGAGGACCACCATGTGACTGCTGAGAGTAGATCTAGGAGTAACCCCTTAGCATCACCAGGTATGGTCCAAAACCCCAAATAAATAAATAAAATCATAAAAAAATAAAAGAACGCAAAGGAGCTCATTAACTTTTTTATTTGATTACATGTTGAAATTAAATTAAATATCCTATTAAAAGTTTCACCTATTCTTTTTTTTTATTTTGGGGCCACACCCAGTGGTTTTCTGGACATATTCCTGGCTCTACAATTAAGGATCACTTCTGACGGTACTCAGAGAACTATATGAGATGCTGGAGATAGAGCCCAGGTAGGTAACATGCAAGGCAAGTACCTTACTCACATACTATCGTTTTGGGCCCAGCACGCCTGTTCTTTTTATAACTGATAATATGACTAGAAAATTGTAAATTGCAGGTAGAGTTCCAATTCTATTCTACTGAACAATAATGCAATAGACATATACGTTTAATTCCTTTTTGGTTTTCAGTCACACCTGGCAGTGTTGAGGAGTTCTCCTTGTGTGGTGGCATTCAAGGGACCATAGTACCTGGGTTTCTACATGCAAACATTCACTCCTGTCCTTTGAGCCATCTCCTGGCCCTGCAGACTTAATTCTGACAACAAGTAACTATCATTCACATTTCCCAGTGATAGCACCTTAAACTACAAACCAGCCATTAACACTATAAAAGAGAAACATATTTTATAAGTTAATTCTGTTTTCCAAAACCAAAAGAAATTAACACTCCTGCAATTGCAAAACAAAAATTAGTTTCCCCAGATTAAGTAAATTACCTCTAGCCTACAATTATAAAGAAACCACTCTAAATAATTTTACCCTCAATTTTTGAAGTATATTTCTTACATAAGAAATCCAACATCTATACAAATGAAACAATTATTTCATCTACCCTAAGAAGACTTCAATCCAATTTGATTTTTAAATATTTGGGCCTCCAGGGATCTGGGGGAAAAAATTCAGTATATTCTGAATCTATGAAAAAAAAATTGAAGGAAAGATGAAAAGATAGCCCAACACCCCCTTCCCTCCAAGTGGGGGAAAAGTCTTTCCAGATTTTCCTAGGATGCAAAAGTCACTTCTCAATACTGTCAACAGGAAAATTATATTAAATAAGAATTTAAAGAAATTAAGACAGTGAGCTCCCAGGACATTTACAATAGTTAGTACTTCGTATGGTACCCTAACAAATTTATCATCAAAAAAAGGCTTAATACAGAGGACACTAGCTCTAAATGCAGCCAACCCAACTCAATCCCTGGCACCACATATGGTCCCTGAGCCCCACAAGAGTAAACCCTGAGTACTGTCAGATATGGCCCAAATTCTTTTTAAAAGAAAGAAAGAAAGAAAGAAAGAAAGAAAGAGGAGGCTTACACGGCTGTCAATTCTTTATCCGAGATGCATCACCTGAATACAATCTTCAGGCTTCTATTTGTTAGGTGATACACTGCTTAGAAATCTTTTCCTTGTGCATTTAAATGCCAACCTCAATTACACTCCCAATAGAGTAAGCAGAAAGGCTTGCACATATTTTAAAATAAAGCTGATTGGATAGTTTCCTGCCTAAGAGGAAGGGGTAATGGGTAAAGCTCTTTCTGAGCATAATCCTTTAACACTGAAGCCACTCTCGGGGAGTCAAGTCTTCTAACATTGCCCAATAGGTAAAAAGACTGCCAAATTTTCCATTAGAGCACCCTATTTTTAGTCTTTGGAAGTAAGTCTTTTAAATCGCATTCCATAGTACAATGTGCTCGACCAATTTCATACCTGGAACGAAATAAGCATCTCAAGGTCTTAGTCTTATTAAAGCATAGAAGGGAATTTGAAGCTGATATACCTGGGAGGGGAGAAGAAGGCGTCTTTTTTCTAAATCTTAACTTAAAATCTTTCAGGCACGCAAATTAAATCTTTAAAAAAAAAAAAATCAAGGCAAATATTGGCCCAGCGGGAGGAAACGGGAGGGAGACACCAGGCGGTTCTTTGACAAGCGGAGCAGTGTGGGGGACCCAGGTATGCAGGAAAACACGAGGCTTCCAGGAGGGTGGGCAGACGGGGCTGGGGGCTGCAGGACGGGAGAGAAGAGGCAGCGGAGACGCCGCCAGCTCCCCCGCGAACCGGGCGGGGAGCGACTTGGGGCGACCGTCGCCGAGGGAGAAAGAGACCCGCGCGATGCTCGGCAGCTGCCCCCCCGGAGACTGGAGAAAAAGAGGGGAAAAGCAGAGAAAACAGGGAGGGGGCGGAGGTGGAGAGAAACGAGCGACCCCTCCCCGGGAGGAGCAGGGGGGATCCAGAAGGCTGGGCACCCCGGCCGCCAGCAGGCGGGTCCCCGGCATCCCGCTCTTCCTCTCCTCACCTGGGAATCGGAGGCGCAAGGAGGGCTACGGCTGGGCGCCGGCTCCGTTTCCAGCCCCACTCGCTGACATGGCGGCCGACGAGCTGTCACCGAGCTCACCCGGGTCTCCCCTGGCTCGGGTGGAGGAGACACCTCTAGCCTCCCCGCCCCGCCTCCCGCGGCGAACCCCTCCCTGCTGGCCCGCTGGCGGCCCGCGGCCGCGGAGCATAGAGCGCAGGCGGCTAGAGAGGAAGCGCAGGGGGGCGGACAACCATAGAGTACGCGTCCGGACGCAGCCCGGAAGGTCCGTCTCTCTTCGCAGCCGTTCCCTCCCAGTCTTGAGGCGGCTGAGCCGGACCGGAAGCGGAAGTGAGGGAGGAGCTAGAAAGAGCCGGTCTCTCGCATGCGCGGCTCGTGGTCCTGGCTCCGCGCCTTGTCAGGCACGGGCTGCGTGATGTTGCACGCGGGCTACCCCGCAAGGAGTTAGCCCAACAACGAAGTACTTCGGACGCGGGCCTGTAAAGGGCGAGGATGTGGGGCCCGTTGGCGGGGCTGCCTCCGCGGCTGGCGCTGTCAGGCGTGACCGGACCCGGCCGCCTTTGCAGGTTGGGATCCGGAGCTGCTAGGCGGAAAGACGTGCCGGCGGGCACCAGCCGCGGTGCCCATTCGCGTCGGAAGCCAAGTCCTGATTTCGGAGAGACGTGCAAGCACCGCTTCGATCCTAAGCGTTACATAACCTGTCCGAATTTGGCGAAGACCTTGGCGAAATTAATGAAAAAGCCACAGAACCCTTCCCCACTGGTACTGGAGTGCAATCCAGGTAAGTCGATCGCGGGCCACTCATCACCCGCGGTGTGCTCTTTTGGACCCTTTCCTTTACGCGGGGCAGCCCGCGTGCAGCATCCCACAGGCCTCTCATGGAATGTGTGAATCATAACACCACTCGCAAATTTTTGTGACTGTTTTCCCTTTGCATAGTAGTTAGTTTACACGTCCCTCGCGTTCACCCTAAGTCACCCCCCAAGTAAATGATTGCAAACTCCACTCCTCTTAGGGCTTTTATCTTACCCTTACTGTAGTCCTTAGCAGGCAGGATACAGTGTGTACAAGAGTTAGAGGCCTTTTGAGGAGTAACTCTGGAAAGCACTATTATTATGAGGCGTTCACTCTAGATTTGGGGTCGGGAATGGCCAATGTAGAGCAACTGCCTTGCAAGCCCAAGGCCAAGACTTCGCCCTAACCACAGCTGGTGCTGCTGTTGGTACCCTGTGACCGAATGTGTGTCCACTGCTCAACGCACCACCCAAAAGGGGAAAAACGGGGCAGTCTTTCTAAAAAATGTAACGAATAGATTTGACAATACCTTGGACGACTAAAGCGCCAGGATAGTTTATGAGTAAGTGCCAGGAGGCAGCCCCCTTTCTGCACGCTTTTTTTTTTTTTTTTTTTTGAGAAGTGGTAGCAAAACATTGTGATGAGGAGTACAGATCTGGACCGGGAGATGGTGCAGCAGTTAGGGTGCATGCCTAACAGGCACACGACCCGGATCCAATACCCAGATCCATAGGGTCCCCGAGCAGCCCAGTGCAGCTCTGGAGACCCCCAGCCTCCTACCAGGTGGTCCGGGTATGCCCTGCACTTCAGGGCCTGAACAGAATATTCTCAGGCCCTTGCATTGAACCAGGTTCACCAAGAATCACGGAAGGTGGTCGTGTGGGAGAAGGGGGATCCTAGACCTCCTGAGCATCATTTGGGAGCCCTCTTCATAACCCACCTCCCCTGCCCCCATTCCCATCCCCCCAAAAAAGGGTGCAGGTTCTACAGTCACTGACAGCAAAGATTCAAAGCAAACAGTACCACTTAATGGTTGGGATGTTGGAGTGAAGGGACTCTCCAGTCTTACTTTTCTTTTTGAAAATAAGGAGATTAATGGCTGCTTTAGGGACATTAAAATTGAATAATAGACCTATGGAGTTGGAGCTCAGTGGTAGAGTGTATACTTACTTATACCCAAAATATGAAAATAGAAAATAAAGAGAAAAATCTGTGCCTAATAAAAGTTTGTTGAAAGAATTGATGTCGTTTCTTTTCAAAATAAATCATTGACTCTGTTATGATCCCAGGTCCAGGATTCCTGACTAAAGCACTGCTTGAAAGTGATCATCAAGTGATTGCCCTTGAAAGCGATAGCACTTTTATTCCACGTTTGAAGGTATAGATTTTATTTCTAAAAGTAATGTATTGTTCTTTTCGCTATCTTTGAGTGGTCTGGGGAAGGAAGATCAAGTACACAGTTGTTTTTAAGTAGATCATATGTAAGGGTCAAGCCTTCAATATCTTGTTACTGCATCCCCTGTGACGAGAACCCAGTATCAGTACTGGTTGAAGGATTAAAAACATTGGGAGTTCTGGGAACTCTCTTCTGATTCTCACTCTGCTGTAGTCTAGTTGTGTGATTGGACAGAATATGTAAATGGTTTCTTTAGACGTGTTTCTTCATCTAGTGGGCTACTCTGTGCTCCTGCTTTCTGTAAACTTAAAATGTAATGGTGCTGAGTAGGTAATACCACCATGTAAACTTTTTTTTTATATTGAACATAGACCTTTATTTTTTTATAAAGCTGTTCGTGATTGGATTTCAGTCATACAGTATTCCAACACCCATCCCTCCACCAGCATAACTTTCCCAGCACCAGTGTCCCCAGGTTCCCTCCCATTACCCCCCATCCCCTGCCTGCCTCTATGACAGGCACTTCCCTCCTCCTCTCTTTTCCCCATCCCACCCACTTTGGGCATTGCACCGTAAAATTTTTATAATACTTGAGATTTCAAGAAAGGTTGTATTGAATTAGATAGAATTTCATGGAGTAGGGCTGGAGCCATAGCTTAGTGGGTAGGGTGTTTGCTTTGCACGCAGCCAACATGGCCGACCCGAGTTCGATTCCTCGGCGTCTTTCAGAGACCCCGGCAAGCTACCGAGTATCTCGCCTGCACAGCAAAGCCTGGCAAGCTCTGTGACTATTCTATATGCCAAACAGTAACAAGTCTCACAGTGTTACTGGGCGCTTGAGCAAATCAATGAACAACAGAGAACAGTGATACAGTGTTTCATGGAGTAAAGACATCCAAATGGATTTATTAGAAAATCCTGCTTCTTCACATAGTGAAGAGGTTTGTGGTAAAGAAGTGCTAGAGGGCCAGCAAGATGGCTCAGTGGACTGGAGCGTTTGTTTTGAACTCAGAGACGTGGTTGCAATTCCTGGTGTCACATGGTCCCCTTAGCACTGCTTGGTGTGGCAAAAAAGAAAAAACAAAAACATCATAAACTAGGAGCTAGAGAGAATGCTTGCCTGAATCCCCAGCATTGCATATGGCCTCCATGTCCCACCAGGGATTACTCCTGAACACAGAGCCAGAAATAACCTCTGAGCTTCCCTGGGAATGGCCCCAAAACCAAAATGATTATTTTTTAAAATGTTAGATTCACTGCTTTGCACATGTGAGAGTCTGAGATCTATCCCAACCTTATGAAAAAGACAAAATAGACTCATTTTGGGACCAGAATGATAGCACCAAAGGTAGGGTTTTTGCCTTGCATACAACTGACCCAGGCTCCATTCTTGGTACCTCATATGGTCCCCTGAGCTCCACAAGGAGTGCTCCTTGAGCACAGAGCCAGGAACAAGCCCTGAGCACTATCAGATGTGGTCCAAAACCCCCCTCCCATCAAAAAAGAGAAACCTAAACCATGTAAAATGTTGTATTTGAAAGTGTAGGGTGGCGACAAGTAGTTGTGAAAATGTCTATCAAATTCAGCTATTATTTGGTTTTGGATTTTGAGCCACACTCGTGGTGTTCATGTGTCACATGGCTCAGGGAAACCATGGAGCACTGGGGACTGGTGCTCTATCTGCTGGACTTCCAAAAAATGATAAAGAGAATGAATACATTAAAGTGTTAAGGTCCAGAGAGATAATACAGGGGTTTAGGCACGTGCCTTACTTGCAGCCACACAGTTTTAGATCCCTAGTATCCCATGGGGCCCCAAGCATCGCTGAGTGCAGCCCTGGACAACCCCTTTCGTCCAAGTACCATAATCATGATCTGGGTGGTCCCAGGTGCTGGCACCAAGCAGCAGGATATCCTTGGCCCTTGCACTGAACTGCTGACCTAACTGGCAGAGAATCAGACAGGGACCCCCCCCCCCCCCCACACACACACACACACACACATACACAAAATGTTCAAGCATTTTTAAATCATAAAATTATGGTTTGGTAAACAGTGTGATTTCAACTTGAAAATTAAAATCAACATATGTTTTATCTTGATATTTGTTGAAAGGTCTGATTTGGAAAGTTCGGCTGTGTTGGGTCAGGGAGATAGAGCGAAGGACAAGAGCATACATTTTGCCCGCAGGAACCTTTGGTTGGTGCTGCAGTTTGTCATGGTCTTGGAGCTCTATCCCCCCCCCACCCCCCCAGCTATTACAGGATGTGCCCCTCACCCAAAAAGTAAGAAAAAGAAAAGATGATAGGCTACAACAGGTTCACACAATATGTTATAATGTAAAATGACTTTTTCTTTACATTTGTCAAGTGTAGCACAATAGTTGTTTTTCTGTAAGATCTCTGAAGTGCTAGCCCTAATTTAAAATTTGAGTATTTGGACTGGAGTGATAATACAGTGGGTAGCCTTGCACGTGCTGACTAGGGTTTGATCCCTGGCATACCATATAATTGCCCCAAGCACTGCCAAAAGTAAGCCCTGAGCACTGCCAAGTGTGCCCCCCCCCCCCCAAATCAATCATAATGAAAAGATGGAGGGTAAAGGGGCTTCAGTATTTCTTGTCATTCATTTTGGTGGCAGGGGAGGTAGGGGTAGGGTGTGAATCTCCAGAGTCATGCTTAGGGAGCTTGGGGTCTCTCCCAGTGACACTTAGCCAACCGGGCCAGGCGTTCAGAGCTATTGCTCGAGGCTGCAGTCCTACTTAGACTACTTCAGTGGCCTCCAGGGCTATACCCAGCAATGTTCCGGGGGGCCAGGTACATGCAGAGTATCTCCCTGGCTTGTAATTTTTTGACTTAGGGCTACCCCTGGTGATGGGTTCTGGCTCTGTGCTTGTATGTGCTCAGCCTATTGAACAATGCATCTGGCCCCAGCAATTGATATGTATACATAGAAATAACTTCAAACGAAGTTTATGGTGTCTGGATAATGTTCCTTCTCACTACTGAGTCCCCAGCACAATACTGCAGCGTGAGTGGATCAGGACAGTGAAAGGATAGGCCTCTGCCAGAAGACAAGGAACTTTCCCTTCTGCAGTTGCCTGTCTTTAAAAAAGGAAATAGAAATTTAAGGGAAGAATGGACAATGGCTAAGCGAATCTGGTAAAGGACCAACCTCTTCTATTCCAAGAAATATTCTCTTGGACCTATTTTGATAACTATTATCTTGAGTATAAAGCCCTCCACTCAGTATTTTTGATAGGTGCTAAAGAAGTCACACACCCATCTGTGCTCACAGTTTTCTGGCTCTGTGCTCCCAGGTCATTTGGCCTGGGGGCTGCCATGTGCTGGACAAGTGCCTCACTGTCTGTACTATCACTTCTGCCCCACTTTAATGTTTTAATTAATTTTCTCTCTTATGAAACATCTTCCTCAGAGTAGCAAATGGATTGCAGCTTTTTGTCTGTCTTGGTATTTTTGTTGGCAATGGCTACTAAGCAACTAGAAGGTTTTCGAACAATTGAAGTCATTGAGATACAAAAGTAAAAAGATAACTGTGAATTTGATGGAGGCTTTTTAGTTTGGGGAGTTCTTTCTTAAAATTATTATTATACTTTCATTGTTTTTAAGGCATCAATTTCTATAAATTGTTAAGCTTGAGGTTGTGTTAATATTTATATCTTTAATGAGTTATAATCTGTTTTTATCAAAACTTTTATTTTTTAATTTAAAAAATTGCACAGTACTAAAATTTTGTAATATGATTGATACGTACCTTCTTTTTTTTTTTTTTTTTTGGTCTCTAGTCCCTACAGAAAAATCAGAATGGAAATCTACGAGTGGTTCACTGTGACTTCTTTAAACTGGATCCAAGAAATGGTGGAATGGTTAAACCCCCCATTATGATTTCAGAGTCACTTTTTACAAATTTGGGAATAGAACCAGTTCCTTGGGCAGAAGGTAATGTTGATCATTCAATAAAGAAAAATACCTTAAAATTTTTTAATTTATAGCAACATCCGTTTCATTGGAGAGATTATGTATCATTTATACTATTAAGGCTTATGAACAGATGCTCTGAAGATGAAAAATGGCTTTTATTCCATTTTGACAGAAATTATTAGAGCAGTTCCATGGAGGCCAAGTCAGGGAAAGAAGCTGAGGCTATTAATTGAAATAAAATTGTTTTAATATAGCTTACCTTAGTATAATTCAATAAAATACAGTCCTAGGGGGTCAGAGCCATAGCATAGCAGGTAGGACATTTGCCTTGCATGCAGTTGGATTTCTCCGCCTCTCCCGCAGAGCCTGGCAAGCTACCAAGAGTATCCCGCCCGCATATCCCGCCTGCACGGCAGAGCCTGGCAAGCTACCCTTCGTATTCAATATGCCAAAAACAGTAACAAGTCTCAAAATGGAGACATTACTGGTGCCCACTCCAGCAAATCGTTGGACAGGAGGACAGTGCTACAGTGCTCCAGTACTAGGTGAAAGTGTTGAATTTATTCAAATATTTTTTTCTTGTTTCCTTCACAGGTATCCCTTTAAGAGTCTTTGGAATGTTTCCAGTTCGAAATGAGAAGAAGGTGCTTTGGAAACTGTTACATGACCTGTATTCCTGTACTTCTATATTTAAATATGGACGAATAGAACTTAATGTATTCGTTAGTGAACAGGAATACCAGGTAGGTTGTTAATAGGTACCTGATTGTGAGCGTTGTGTTTTTTTGGGGGGGCAGGGGGAGGAGTGATGGCATGTGGAGGAGGCAGTGCTGGGAGGAGTGAGGGAAGTGATTTACTTCCTGGTCAAAGGAAGAAAACTTCAGGAAGAAGTATGTGTCCAGGATGTCTGGAAGGATAAAAAATGCCAGTCAAGTCCATTAACTAAGAATCTGAGTGCAGATCCAGGACTAGGCCCTTAGCAACACCGAGTAGCACTGTCCACTGTCTGTAGCACTGTCCTGTTGTTCATCAATTTGCTCCAGCGGGCACCAGTAAAGCCTCCATCATGAGACTTGTTGTTACTGTTTTTGGCATACACCACGGGTAGCTTGCCAGGCTCTGCCTTGAGGGCGGGATACTCTCAGTAGCTTGCCGGACTCTCTGAGAGGGAGAGTATGACCCCAAAACAAAAATAAAATGTAAAAAAGATTGTTTAGACTATTTAGTATATGGTAAGATCCCATATGAGATTTGGGTACATATTTCTATTTCTGCTGGGAAAGAAATCATTGGAGTTTTGGTAAGGATTGCATTAACCCTAGATTGCTGAGTTTTGGTAAGGATTGCATTAACCCTAGATTACTGAGATTTAAACAATGTTCAGTGTTCTTTGCCAGTGATATAACTGAGCACTAGAGTACTTGCTGTGCTTATATGCCCTGTTCAATCTTTACTGTATTTAAAAAAAAAACAAAATCTTTCAATCTTTGAGTGCAGGATGTCTTTTTTTATTTTTTTAATCTCTCTCTCTCTCTCTCTCTCTCTCTCTCTCTCATTGTTGAAGCACATCCAGCAGTGCTCAGCTCTGTGCTCCTGGTGGTGCTCAGGGATATATGGTGCTGGATATTGAACCACATGCCCCAGCTATCTCTTTAGCCCCTACTTTATTTTGGTTTTGGTTTTTTGGATCATACCTGTTCAGGGTTTACTCCTCGCTCTGCATTTAGGTATCATTCCTGGTGGGGCTCAGGGAACCGTATGAAGTGCTGAAGATCAAACTCAAGTCAGCCATGTGCAAGGCAAGCACCTTGTCAACAGCACTGTGCTCCAGCCCCTCTTTAATTTCTTATAGCAATGTTCTGTAGCTTTCAATGTTCAAGTCTCATCTCCTTCATATAAATACGGTGTTTTTTAATTTTTTCAGGTGTTTCCTTTTTAATATATAAAAACACAGTGGATATATTTAGGCAATGCTTAGGAGTTACTCTTGTTCCTGCACTCAGAAATTAACTCCAGGTGATGCTCAGGCAATCATATGGGATGCCGGGCATCAAATCCAGAATGCCACATGCAAGGCAAGCACCTTACCCTCTATACTACCTCGCTAGTCCCCAGGATCTTTAGGATTTTATACTGTTCTATATTCTGTGAAAATAAATGCTTTCCTAAAGTCCTTCACATCACTTTGCAAGGCTTTGTTTGGGGGGGGTTCTTTTTCCAGAATACCTGTTAGTGTTTTAACATGCTACAACAGAAAGTGCCTATCTGTGTATAAGAGCCCTATGAGGGGGGCAGGGAAGAAAGGGATGATATATTGCTCAGGACCCAGCTCAGGAGTTAATGGTGACTCTCAGGAGGGTGCAGGGGGATAAGGGGGCAGACTCTCAAATCTTTCAACTCTATGTAATGTGTGTACATGGGAGAATGAATGGGACGGAAAATGGGAAGTGCTTCCTCAGGCATCTCGCTCTCAGGAAGACATTCTAAGACTGCTTTTACTCTGGACCTTTTTACATGTGATTTCCTCCCACTAGTGCCTTCTAATTAGTGAGAGAATCTCTCATCCTGCCAGTGTCACCCTGAATAATTCCTGATTTAATAGTTTCCTAATACATGTTTCTGATCTCATTCTCTCCTCCATAATTATATGGGATTTGGGTGGGTTTTTTTTTGTCCTTAAATGAGATTTTTTTCCCTGATAGGGATATGTTTATAATAAATTCATCTCAAGTACATTGTTTTATATTTACATGGTGACATTATTTCAATATAAAACTTTGATTTAAAGGCCTTTTGTCTTTGAGGGGCTGGAGTGATAGCACAGCAGGTAGGGCATTCGCCTTGCACGTGGCCAACCCAGGTTCGATTCCCAACACCCCATGTGGTCCCCTGAGCACCGCCAGGAGTAATTCCTGAGTGCAAAACCAGGAGTAACCCCTGAGCATCGCCAGGTGTGACCCAAAAAGCAAAAAACAATAAATAAAATAAAGACCTTTTGTCTTTGAAATAGTTAATATTTTGCATTTAGTTCTAAATTTCTTTCCTTTTCAGATGCTGTTTAAATATCAGTATTAATGATTAAACATTTTATTTTGATTGTAGTTTTATATGTCGTGTAACTTTAGTTTTCCTTTCAATAGAAACTAGTGGCAAATCCCAAATCTGTGCGCTTCTATCAACCATTGAGTGTGCTGTGGCAAGTTGCTTGTGACATTAAGTTTCTGCATGCAGTGAGTAAAATCCTTCTAAATTTCAGCAGAAAATTTTGTCTCCAAAAAGGCTACATTTTTCTGACCAGTAAATGAAGAAAAGATTGTTTTATTGTTTGTTTCAATTCTTGAAAGTGACAGAAAAATAGTAACCGCAGAAATATATTGTTTGGGGGGATAGAAAGTCCTGAAATTATCACATTTTCTCTAATCATAAAAATATGGATGCTTAGGGGAAAATAGGAGACATGTTAAAGAGATTAAAGGAGAGACATTTTAAATATTTCAGAAGCATATTTGTTTGATATCACTATGGAGTGTTAGAAAGATAGGTCAGGTGATAGGGTGTCCTCCCTACCTTGCGTAAGATCCGAGTTCAGTCACCAGCACAGCCTACCTACCCCACCAATCCCACCCCTAAGTGTAAAGAGTGGCCATGTCCCACCATTTCTCCTCTTGTCCCCTGGCAAGATGTATGGTCTCCTTTTTTGTTTTTGTTCTTGTTTGGGGCTACGCCTGGTGGAGCTCAAGGCTTATTCCTAGGTCTGTGCTCAGGGATTACTCCTAGCAGACTTGGGGACCATTTAGAGTGCTGGAGATTGAACTTTGGTCAGTTGCATACAAAGCAAGTACCTTGCCCACTGTTCTTAATCTTTCCAACTCCTGCTTTTGCTTAAATGATCACTTGTTGGTCCTATGCTTCATTTATCTTTGTATAGTAAAGATTATTTTGTATCTTACTTCTTTCACTTAGCAGCTACTTCTTTCATAAACTTGTGATAAAAATAATTTTTTTATTGTCAGTGAACATTTTTCTTCCGTTTTTAATTGCTAGCTAATAATTTGTCATTCCCTTTTTAATTTATTTCCATAGATATAATTTAAATTTTGTAATGATCACATTATACAAAGAAAGAAAAGAAGTATTGCTGATTTAAATAATATATTACATATTGCAATCTCAACTTATAATACTATGTCAGGGGGCCACAGATAGCTTGGTGCAGGGGTTAAGGAGCTTGCCTTGCAAATGGCTAACCCTGGTTTAATCCCTGGCCTTGCATTTGATCTCTGAAACATTGCCAGTAGTGATCCCTGAGTAAGTTCTGAGCACCAATGGGGGTGGCCCAAAACCAAAAAGTATTGTGCCGGGCTGCGAGCTCTTGGCAGAATACTTGCTTCCAAGTGTGAGGCCCTTGGTTCTGTTGCAAATACTAGTCATTAATACATAAAAGACAAAACAAGTAGTCACTTCTGTGTGTAATTTTTATTACATAGTTTATGTCTGTCTGTGTACACATACATGCGTGCTAGGCCTTTGAAATTCACTGTATGTATTATGTATCTCATTTCATACTAGAAGTGTTCAGTGTGACTCAGTGGCTGCCAAATTTAAAAGCAGAGAACTAGAATGAAAGAAAAAAGATAATGCTTTTTCTTTCATAACATAATTTGCCTATTAAAGTATATATCCAGCAACTGGGGAGTGTGTGTATTTTATACATTTATATATACATACATATATTCTTTTTTTTTTTTTTAATGTTCTTTTTAAAATTTTTATTAGTGAAACACCATGAGATACAGTTGTAGACTTACAAATTTTTGTGCTTGGGTTTCAGTTATACAATGATCAAGTACCCATCCCTCCACCAGTGCCCATTTTCCACCACCACTAATCCCAGTATCCCTCCCACCCCCAACCCCCCATCCCACCCTGCCTCTGTGACAGGGCATTCCCTTTTGTTCTCTCTCTCTCCTTCTGGGTGCTGTGGTTTGCAAAAGAGGAATTGAGTGGCAATCATGTTCGGTCTATAGTCTATTTTCAGCATGCATCTCCCATCCTGGGCGGATCTTCCCAACACCCTTTATTTGGTGCTCTCTTCTCTATCTGAGCTTCCTTTTCCCCTAGCTGGCCTCCAAGTCAGGAAGCAAAATTCCTGGTACTAATCTCAGCCACTCCTGGGTGTTAGTCTCCCATTTTGTTGCTTTATGTTCCCCAGATGAATGCAATCTTTCTGTGTCTATCCCGCTCTTTCTGACTCATTTTGCTTAACATGATACTTTCCATGTAGTACCACTTGTATGTAAATTTCATGACTTCATCTTTTCTAACAGCTACATAGTACTCCATTGACACACATATATTCTTATGTGCCAGGAGTAAGCCCTAAGCGTGGCACAAAAATCTATTGTTACAGTTGTATTAAGGATACCTCTTTATCTAGATGAGTAGTAGAATTGCTAATATTGAGATCTTTGATTCTTCTCTGAAAAATCCAAAATGAGAGCCAGAGAGATGACTCTTAGTTCACAAGGCCGAGATTCCATCCCCCACATTGCATTCTCCAGCGCCACCTAAAACAACCCGAGTCCCTGAGTACTGTAAAGTATGGCCCCAAAACGAAAGGAAAATGAAATAGACAATAGATATATTATAACTTAACTACCACATGTGTTATAATGTAACTGCCGTATTTTTTCTTAAATCCATTTAGACTAATGAGTTGAATTTAATTCATTGTTATTTATTTATTGTGGGATTTTTTATTGTGTTATTTAATTCATCATGCATATTTAGGCAAGGCTCTTATTTTTTTCATTTTGAGCCACACCTACCTGTGCTCAGGGATCACTCCTGGCTATGCTCAGGCGACAGTATATACTTTGCTGGGGATCATACTCTGTTTAGCTACATGCAAGACAAGTGCCCAATTCACTGTCCACTGTATTATCTCTCTGGCCCTACACAAGATACTTTTTTTAAAGTAGTAGAAATTTTGGTACTTTGACCAAAGAACTAAAAGAAATTTTTCAATTTATTGTCCTTCAAGGAATCTTGCTCTTCATTTGATGTATGCGCGCAAAGTGGACTACTGGAAAAGTCAAAGCATACAGTAAGAATAAATCTTTTTATCCTACATGCAAAAGATTATCTGTTTGGGTTTTGTGCTTTTAGTATTTGACATACGCCCAGCTGTGCTCGGAGTTTACTTCTGGCTTTGCGCTCAAGGGTCACTTCTGCAGGTGCTTAGGGGAACCATATGCAATGCAAGCCAGAGTCAACATGTGCAAGCCTGACTTATCCCTGTGCGCTCTCTCCCGCCAGCCATTTGTGTTCTAAAAATTATTTGCTATTCTGTGATGATTTAAATTCTTTTTATAAATTACATTTATTTTGAAGGGGTTTGTAGTTTTCATTAGACAGTGGTATAGTAATTGACATAAACACAGACTCTGGCACTTGTTTATATCTCCTTTGAAACAGATATATTTCAAATTCGGAAAATATAATTTGCTCCTCATCCAATTTTGTTAAAATTGTGTACCTCATTAATAGACTTGGGATTTGTTGTTATGCATTTGTTTTTATTTTGTCACTTTATTTGTACAGGTTTTTCTTTAATCCCATTATACTGCTTAGTAGAGTGTTTGGCAATTTTTTTTCTAAATAGCTTCAGACAGCAAATAGTTTGTGCTTTCCATGCCATATACATACATACATACTTCCATTTTTGCCTGGTTGGTTTAGGTGGCAGGATAGAAGGTTTTCCAATCATGTTTTCCAACCCATTGAGCCATTTCTTTTTTTTTTTTTTTTTTTTTTTTTGGTTTTTGGGTCACACCCGGCGATGCTCAGGGGTTACTCCTGGCTCATGCACTCAGGAATTGCTCCTGGCGGTGCTCGGGGGACCATATGGGGTGCTGGGAATCGAACCTGTGTCGGTCATGTTGGCTGCGTGCAAGGCAAACGCCCTACCCGCTATGCTATCGGTCCAGCCCCCATTGAGCCATTTCTATAGCTCATACTTTTCTATTTTCAGCAATCCTTCCCAACTTTCTGGGCCAGCGAGATAGTACAGTGGCTAAGACCGTTTGCCTTATATGTAGCTGACCTGTATTTGATCCCTGGCATCTCTTGAACACTGCCAGGAGTAATTCCTGAACCACTGTCAGGTGTGGCCCAGCCCTCCACCCCTCACCAAAAAAAATAGTAATCCTTCCCAAATTTAAAAACTTTTTAGTTTTTACTATATAATAATATATAAAATACACTATATAAAAATAGGCCATTACCATAGCTTGCTAGCCCGTGTATATATATTTCAAGTCAGTTGTTTTTATCCTTAGACTCTGGTATTATGCCTCAAATATAGAAAGGATTTAGTATATGTTAATATCATGTTTGGGGTTAATGTGTCACCTACTTATTATGTTAATAAGCTGTTACTCTTTCATCATTGCTGGCCAAAGACAAGATCCTGGATCAGAAAAAGGATTTTATTTTCTCCTCTCCCCACCTCCACCCACCTCACCTGGCCCTCAAAGTCCTTGGTGGATTTGATATGGCTCAAATGGATGCTATGTATTATTGATGCCTTGGGTTTGCCCTGCAGCTGAGGAGCGCAGAGAGCTGGGGATGTCCACCTCTTTTATAGCAAACATTAAGCAAACCTTTTTTATCCTGGAGGGAAGTGTTGGCATCCCTCAAGTTGACTCACTGCTAACCACCCTCAGAAATAGTCCAGGTAAAGAGTGGTTAGGGCCCTGCATTCTTGGCACACCTGTCACCATGCCAGAATTATTCTAGGTCTGTGGTGATTGCCCCTCCCCACAGGTGTCTTGATGAGTGAGTAAACAGTATCTCGCTCTGGCAATATTTTATGACTAACACAATTTTATTTTCTTTCTTTCTAGGAATCATTAAAGAAAGAACAAAGGATGTGTTTTATTCGAATGACTCCCCGTAAAGATTTATTTACAGAAAGCTTAACACCTATTAACTATGACATATTTTTCCACATGATAAAACAGTGTTTTGTAAAGCGCAATGCCACGCTAGAAGACCATTTACCGTAAGTAAAGGAAGAAATGAAGGCCTAGGCACTGGGAATATTGCTCAGTGGTAGAGCACCAAGTTTCTTGCCTGTGTGAGCCTATCTGGGTTCAATGCCTAGGCCCAACAAAACTATCAATATAAGGAAGTTTAAAAAGTATTAGTTTATTGGGGCCGGAGCAATAGCACAGCAGGTAGGGCGTTTGCCTTGCATGCAGCTGACCTGAGTTCAATCCCCAGCATCCCATATGGTCCCCCAAGCACCGCCAGGAGTAATCCCTGAGTGCAGAGCGAGGAATAACCCCTGAGCATTGCTGGGTGTGACCCAAAAAGAAAAAAAAGTATTAGTTTATTGCGATAATTATTTCATGTTAGAGGACCTCCTCCCTTTTTTTGAACTGTTCTCAGCACTGCTGAGGGACCGTGTGGTTTCAGAAATCAAACACAGGCCTCTTGTGTTCAGCCCATTGATACTGCGCCAGCCCCTAAATCTTATTTATCTTCATTAATAGACTGAGGTGTCATGTTTTCATTCATCCATTTTCTCAAAATACTTTCTTCTCCCTGGTACATAGTTTAAGAAAAACATTCTATTTTCCTCAAAATTAATTTCTTAAGCTTATATTTTTCTCCCTTCTTTGAAAAAAGTAATCAGGCCTTAGCTATAAGTTGTTACCTTTTTGTGTACAGAGAAAGTCAGTATTGTGGTAGAATAGGCACTAGTCACCACTTTTGCTGCTTTCCAGCTTTCGGTGATGTTTCTGCTTCCAGCTAAGTAAGCACAGCTAATTCTACCACCCAGTCACTCTGCCATGGAAAAATTGTTTTATTTTTTGGATTTTGGGCTACACCCTCTAGTGCTCAGGACTTACTCTTGTGCTTAGGGATTATTCCCAGTGGTCATACGAGTGCTGGGATTGAAACTGGATCAGCCGTGTGCAAGGCAAGAGCCCTACCCACTGTACTTTTTCTCCAGGCCCACGTACCAAAGTATTGCTACCTAAAATTCTGAATAGAATTTCTAAGATATTTTCAAATAATATTAATTGTTACGAATTATTTTAGATAATTTGCAGAAATTAGTTGTCTGCTTTCATACAAAATAATTTTTTAATGCTAAGACTGACCATATAATTCTATAAGTTATACACTAAACTTTATAATCCTCAGTCCATAGTCACTCAAAATATTGTCTAAGGATTGGCAAAATGTTCAAAGATTCACTTCTTTAGTATCTAGCTATGAACGAGCTGTTTGGTTTGGTGGCCATAGCTCATGGGGCTCAGGGACTAATTCCAGCCTGCTGCTCGGGAGTTTCTACCATGCTTTGGAGGCTCTGTGCAGCTGGGGGTTGAACCTGGGATTCCTGTGTGCAAAGCGTGTGCTCCTGTCCTCCAAGTCATCTCCCCATGCCAAATAAACTATTGATTGGACGATGTCTATGTGAAGAATGATGCAAGTGTTGTGCCAAAGATGGTACACAGTTGTTCACTTGTCCTATGTGTGTCTTTGGTCACAGTGGTGGTTTGAATCCTAGCCCTGTGTGCGACAGAAGTGGTGTCTGGGCATAGAGCCACGAGTGATCCCTGAGTGCAGAACTAGGATTAAGCAGTGAGCCACGGAGCCCTCTGAATGTGGGTCCCAAGTGTGCTCTGGAACTTTAGAAATAAACATAGTTAAATCTATACATTATACTTAAGGTCTTAAACTGAACAAGATTAAATTTATATAACAAGAAAGACCTTAAGGGGAGTACACCCTGCGATGCTCAGGGGTTACTTCTGGCAATATTTAGGGGACCATATTGGTTGCTGGGAATCGAACCTGGGTCTGCTGCATGAAAAGGCAAGCAGGTGGTACCCACTGTACTGTCTCTCCAGCCCCAGGCTTTTTCAATTGAACTTAAAATCTATCTCTGTAAATATCAAGTTGCTTTTAAAAATGTGCAAATATGCTTTTTATTTCTTTTACAGTTCCTTAAGTCCAATTGATGCAGCAGATATAATGAAGCATTTAAATACTTCTGAGAAGTCAAAAATAACAAATATGTACCCTCAAGACTTTAAACAACTTTTTGAAGCTATAGAATGTTCCAAAGATTATACTTACAAGTGGCTGTATGATGACTTCATGGAAGAGATAATTTTGTAAGGAGATGCACTGCTAAGAGCTGGAACTATTTATCTGGAAATTAGAAGAAGTTGTTTTAAAAAGATCACATTCTTTCAACAGAAGATATCTGTGTATGTTTTACAAAGATCACATGGATCATTTCCTCTGAAGTTAGTACCATACAAATATTGGATAAAACAATGGTTGCTATTTATTCACAGCAGAATATAATGAAAACATTGGTTTAAATTCCTGTCTGTTGTAATTCTAGTTGTATGGTATTACCAGCTAAAGTTCAGTTTTTTAAATTCTTTGAGCCAAACATCTTACAATGTATTAATCTAAGTATTTCACTTTTACTTGGTTTTTGCATTCTTCTTGGGGAGAAGGCAAGAGAGTTTGTATATTATTAAGCTTAGAAAGTAAATTAAACTAATGTGGTTTAATTTACTTTTCAGTTTGTTGTAATATGAGTACTATGCAATGGAATTATTTAATTTTGACATTTTAAAGAAGTTTCTAGGAATTTCTATTTTTCTAGAAATTAAAATACTTGAACAATATTTTGTGATTTTTTTTTTTTTTGTCTGAACATTAAAATTTTTCCTTGTGTAAGATCATGTACTTTGGGTAAGTAAATTTGACTTATTGAAAAGCTTCTTTAATTTTTGTTTGATCATGAATGTTCATCTGAAGGTAGGCTTTTAATAAATCTAATTTGAATTAAGAATATTAGATCCATGAAGAATTTACTATATTTCAGCCGAGACAGACATGTCTACTCAGTTAAATTTGTCTATAATTCCTTAGGTACATTATTAGTAAGTAACTTTGTAACACTTATCAATCTACTGCTTCCCAACATTCCTACTCCTGTGGTTAGCAGAACAGTCTGGCTAGACATTCTGAATCCTTCTTTCTTTCAGTTCCTATCCTTTCATTCAGTTTGCCGGATCTTTATGATACCAGTTTTCCTTCTGGTTTCCTTCCTAATCCTGTGCCTGAAGCCTAACTTGAGGAGACTGCACTGTTCTCTTCCGGGAGCTGGTTTTTATGGTCTCTGAGTCTTGGCCGTCTCCTGCCCCCGTGCCTGGCTGTCCTCTCCGGGGCCCCTTGGAGGGGAGCGGGTTGAGCTTTCCTCCCCGCCCCAACCAGGGCTCCGGCAGCCGAAGACCTCCAGGACCAGCCACCACCATGCTGAGATCACTCTCTGCACACTTGAAGGTACCAGCAGAGGAACAAAGGCAAGCGGGTCCCGGGGCTGAGATCTCCAAGCCTACTCGGATCAAGGCTGAGCATCCTCCACCCAGATCCTCCGAATTCCAGTAGGCGGGGGTCACACCCACCAACTGGCCCCCTGGCGCCGTGTAATCCCATCAACAGCCAAGACTCAGAGACTATAAAAACCCTAATTTATCAATCTTAATAAATGGAGATAGTTGTTCATGGTAGCAGGAAAGTACTGCAAGAGTTTGGAATTAAAGTTAGCCTTCTTGTTTCATAGTAAGAACCCACAGTGGTCTACAAAACTTCTGGAGAGGTCAATTAAGTTAACTAAAAAGGTTTAGGTGGATAGTACAGATTGCCTTGATGTGGCTGACTCCTGACCTTTAAAAAAAAGGTTATTTTAGAGTTTATTTTGAGGATTTGGGACTACACACCTTGTGGTGCTCCACAAGCTACTCATCACTCAGTGCTCACCGTTTGCTCCCAGCAGAACGGGAGCACCATGCAGTGCTGGAGTGGAAGTCAGAACTGCAGGCAGTGCATGCATTCCAACCCATTGTGCTTGGACCCAAACCAGAGCGGATTTTGTTTTCCTTTTTTTTTTTTTTTTTTTTTGCATTTTGGGTCACACCCGGTAATGCACAGGGATTTCTCCTGGCTCTGCACTCAGGAATTACCCCTGGCAGTGTTCGGGGGACCATATGGGATGCTGAGAATGGACCCAGAGATGGCCGTGTGCAAGGCAAAAAGCCCTACCCGCTGTGCTATTGCTCCAGCCCCGTTTTCCTTTCTTTAAATAACTGAGTTATTGGTCAATATTACTGTCATTATAGATATACACTATTACTGATATACCTGTTGGTTGAATGAGAATATCAGATATAGCTTTAAACTCCATCTATATAAGCCCACACCTATCATTCAAAGTTCCAGTCCCCTACAAAAGACCCCTCAGGAGTGGGTGAGGCCCCTCCCCGCCCCAACTGAGCCAGCCCCAGGAGCCCAAAACCTCCAGAACTCAATCACCAAGCTCAGGGCTGCTTTCCACACACTCAGGCGGGCCTCACCCATGAATCAATCTGGCCCCAAGTATGTCAGATTTTAATGCCTTGGGCAAACAGAAAAGGAGTTAGGTGATAACTGAGGGTCTAGCTAAGTATGGAAAATAAGTTTTTAGTGGTATTCTGTCTTATGCTCTTGTTTTAATTTCAGGATTGGAGCAACGGTGAATAGGAATGATTAGATAAGTAAACATAAAAAGTTGTGTATTAAGTACATTAGCATTTAGGGCTGTGCATGTGAGCAATTTCCATTACAGAGAAGTTGTTCTGACATGTGATGGATTTTTTTAATAAGAGATGCGACCATAGAGAGTGGTGGTGGTGTGGCCTGAACTGTAGTGGGGTCACAGTGTTTGTCCCCAGCTTCTTCCCCCTGAATCCGACAAGGACTAGGGAGCCTTAAGGTTCTATGATTGAGTTGCAGACCCTTTTTAGTGATGCAGAGAACAGCTGTCGATGTAGGCTCAAGGACTTGCAGTTAGGCTAGCTAACCTTTTTGAAATTAAGTTATGATCTGAGACTTCCTTGTAATCTGCTTCTCCTGTAGAATCAGGCCCTCATTTATACTAAAGTGCATCCTGCCTTTTGTTCCTCTAGTCTACCTTTAGACTTTTCTAATATTAGCTCCTACTTCTCTGCAAACCCAGTCTAACCAGGAGTCAAGGAATGTGAAAGGAACAGGAAGAAAATGTTAAGAAAATCAAGTATGTACTAAAAAGTTGGCTGAAAATCAACTAAATTCTGAGCCAGAGAGATGATAACAGCAGGTACGGTGACCTGCTAGCATACAGCTGACCCAGGTTCAACCCCTAGCACCCCATTTGGTCCCATAAGCACACCAGCAGTGATCCCTGAGTGCGGAGCTAGGAGTAAGCCCTGAGCACTGCTTGGTGTACAATCACTTAGTCCTCTCCTCCCACCCCTCCCTCTAAAGTCTTCTAAATTTTGATACTAAAATACCAAAGGTGGAGTGGCCAGAATGATCATACAGCAGATAGAATATTTGCCCTGCATAAAGCCTACCTGCGTTCAATCTTTGGCATCTCATGTGGTCCCCTGAGCCCTCTAGGAATGACACTGAGAGCAGAACCAGGAGTAAATCCTGAATACTACCAAGTGTGGCCCAAAAAACAAAATGCCAAAGGTGGGCATCATTGCAGATGTAGGGACCAGGACAGGTGGAGCAGTGGGGCTCTCAGAAACCTGAACTGCAAGAGGTGCCTCCGGACCCAGTGCCTAGCCGAATTTCAGATCCAAGGAACCCCGGGGCGGGGGGGGGGGGGGCAGGTGAGTCTCCATACCTACCCCCAGAAGAGCCCTGGCAGCTGAAAACCTCCAGAACGCAATTGCTGCCACACTCACAGCCAGATCCCACAGGCTCAGGCAAGCCTTTTGCATGAATGCTTCTTAAAAAACTCAAGTCATGTGGGTTTTGTGACCAAAATCTCCAGGCTTCCGTGGAGTTGAGGTTGGGTGACCTCCCCTCATTCCCCTATTCTTCCAGAAGCCTGCCAGTCACACCCATGAATGCTACCGGCGAGCACCAAATAAGCTCGCTAACCAGCCATGCTCTCTGTAGAGACTCATAAATAAATCTTGAAAGAGACCAGCGAGCTGCAGAGATGCTTCCGAAGTCCAGAGTCACCATCCAGTTAATAATTCAGCCCTCACACAAAAGAATCTCAGAACTGACCAGTGAGCTGCAGAGATGCCTCTGGACTTTAAGCCAGGCTGATTTCACCGGGGTGCCTTAGATGGGGGCAGGCGTTGTCCCTCCACCTGCCCCCTAAGAATCCTGGCAGCTGCCAACTTTCAGAACCCAATGAGAAGTGCAGGTATGCGAATTCAGTGATGGCAAACTCCAGGCCTCAAGGGGCAGGAGATGGACTGGCCCTTCTTATCTCCTTGTCCCTATGGGACCCTGGAGGTCATGTTCATAAACTGCCTCTGGCTGCTGTTTAAGCTCCTTAACGGCCATGATCCAGAGACACACAAAAGAATCTTGGAACCAAGCAGCTCACTGCAGTGATTTCTCCAGACCCTAATTATCTAAAATTTTAGAATTTCATAGACATCTTAGGCTATTCATAACAAGCAGTACAAAAGAGAGTATGGGGGAGATTGTCTGCCATAGAGGCAGGGGGAGGGGTGGGATGGAGTGGGGGTACTGGGGACATTGGTGGTAGAAAATGTGCACAGGTGAAGGGATGGGTGTTCGATCATTGTACGACCAAAACTCAAACATGAAAGCTTTGTAACTATCTCATGGTGATTCAATAAGTAATAATAATTCAACCCCACCAAATTTTAGAATTCCTGGACATCGCATACTCCACATCACTGATATACCAGGAACAACACACCACACTGGATGGATGTAAAGTAGAGGGCAGCCACAAGACTTAACCTGTAAACAACATGTTATTAATCTTTTATAGAAGAGATCAATGGCTCCAGATTGAGATACAATAATCTTCACATTTTCTTTTCAGAATATCTTTTTTGATCATTTTTTAGTGAATTAATCGTAACAAGCAATACAAAAGAAGTCATTTAGAGTCTGCTATTGGGGCAGGTCTGGGGGTGGTTGGGAAAATCGGAAATAATGGTGGTGGGAAGGTGAAACGGTGGTGGGATTGATGTTAGAAAATTGAATGTAATAATGTGAACAATTTCATAAAAATAAAAAATTTTAAATACCAAAGATGAATTCCCTGTGATGACAAAGTCCAATAGCAAATAATTCATACTTACAAAGGCAGTTTACCACAAAACCTTTTTATTTTTGCTGTTATCTCAGGATAATGGGTGACTGGTTCCTTTGAATTCTCAAAATCTGATTAGTAGAATGTCCAAATGCAATATTAGGAACTTGACTGGTATCACTGAAAAACATATGTTCACATGATGAGTAAAATAAATTCCCTTACCCTTAGCTCTAGATAAGAATGTTATGATTAGAAATGAGCAGGAGAGCTAAGAGCTGGAATTATTACAACAAAAGAATATTCTTGTATGTTTTCTGAAATGTTGATAACTTTCCAACTACAAAATAGGTTTTCTTGGGGTCTGGAGAGATAATATAGCAGGTAGGGTGCTTGCCTTGCAAGTGACCAGCCTATCAAGCTTCAATCCCCAGCATCCCATATGGTCCCCGAGTACCACCAGGAGTAATTCCTGAGTGCAGATCCAGGAGTAAGCCCCAGATGTGACCCAAAACCAAAAAAAACAGAACTAAACAAAAATCAATGAATGTTCTTTTATTCCAAACTATT